CGCGGGGTTTGGGCTCTACGAAGACTACGATATACCTACCCATCACGTCAATCCTGAGATTGTGAAAGTGATAAAGAGATTTGTATGTGATTGAGTTGGCGGCAGTTCTCAATGCAAATTGTCGTGTACGAAGTACACCGTCGGTCGGTATAAAGTATGATTGATGACAGTCCGGTAGACTTTGGATGAACGCTGAAGCAAGCGGCCCAATCCTAGCCTAGGTATAGCGTAATATAGAGTAGACGTGCCGTACGGGGGGGGTTACTCAAACGCTGTGCAGTGTTGTGCATCGGATAGAGTTACTGGCCCGCCGGCCTTCTTCTTTCCTCGAGTTGGAACGGCACTGGGTCATCAACCACAACGAGGCAATGAGTGGACCAGTGAGAAGTTCTCGCTGAGAACTGAGAAGTGGAAAAGATACTTGGCCATCCTGCGTAAGAGCCAGCAGCGCAAAAGTACCTACCTGCCTGTCTTGGGAGGGACTAAAGTAGTTCTTACAACTTCCTTGCGGGCTCCATGACGACAAGGTTAGATCCCCTGCAGCGATAGCAGAGGCTAATAAGACGAGTCCGGCATGTCTTCATTAGGCGGATCCCATTCCCCTGGGTACACTGTGATGATGGTATGGGGGGGAGGGGGGGCAGCGAAGATCTGGACCGGACCTGAGCAGGCCTGCAGCCGGCAGCGCAGCGTGCAGCGAGGGCAGAGAGTAGCTCAGTTCGGCGTGATATAATGGAGCTCGAGAGAAGGAATTCCGCCGCACCGAGGTTTGCCGAAGCCTGGAGGCCATGCACAAAATCTGCACAATGTATCATGTCCTGATTTGCCCTAGCCAGCGAAGGCCATTCTTGATCAGACGGCCCTCCTTCGTGTTCTCCTTTGATCGGATGATCTGGGGGGTCGTATCAAAGTTGCAAAAAAGATAGATGTGCTCCTAATTTCAATTTCGTGAAAGCGGCCGAGACGCAGATTTTGGAACGGCGCTGGGGGAAGGATTGAGGGCAGCAACTGGTAGACTGACTAAGCACGGTCATAGGTATTCGACAGTCAGAGCATTTGGCCCCAGATCAATGCCTGCCGAAAAAAATGATCGCCTTGGCGGCGGATTTGGCAACCTCTCAGAGTCTTGGATTGACGATCAGTTGGCGAGACGAGACAAGGCTAGACAAAGCAAGAACGAGACGTGATTCTCAGGCTTGGTGACAGCCCACCAGCCTGCCGCCAATGGCAGTAGCATCGACGCTAACAAACAGGGGGAAAAGAGAGGCAAGCTGGAGCTAGTCGCCGGTCTTTGTCGGTTATGTGTCGTAACGAAAATCATTAGTGACGGCGCCGCTTGTCTAGCGTTCATGTCCATCCACCCATCTTTGTGGTTGGGGACGGACAGATTGCCCCTCATTCGTTCTTGATGTCGGTAGCTGGAAGTTTTCCGTGGCTCCGAGTCCGACCTGCCCGTCCAACGTTGGCTCCTCCGTCACTGGGATCGGCCGAAGGTCTTGGCTCCAGCAATTTTGCAGCCGAAAGCAAGGTGACATGAGAGCGTTATATCCCCCCAACCCCTTTCGTAGTGGCAAGATACAGTGGTCGAGAAGATCTCGAGCGAGAGGGACTTCTGGTGTCCTCATCGTCTAGCTGCGAGCAAGAGGCGAGGGAAGATCTCAACTAGGATGATGGTGGAAAGCCGCCTGTAAGCAAGAAAGACGGCCGCCACCGGGCCGCCCAGGGCATTCCATTCCACCTGGGACCCTCATCTCGGCGGCCTCGGCGGATTTTGTCTCTGCATGTGGCGGCACCGAGGCATGTGCGGATAGAAAGCGCCAACCAAGTGCAGTTGAGTGTTAACATTTGGACAGCATTAGTAGGTTGGCAGAGATGGTTATGCTTCCAGAGAGTCGCAACGGAACGGTCGGCGCCGCATTTACTCTGGGGTCGCGTTGCATTGAAGAGTCGGAAGACGGAGCAGTTCTGGATAATTAGAAGGTAATGTGCAGGGAAAATGCTGCTTAAAACCGCAAGTGTCGTCAACGTGCACCAACGCAAACCCCGTTTTCCCTGAGTAAAAAGTCCCTCGGTTTCTGGGCTGAGACAGGCCATGGTTTGTCGTTGATGAGGCACTGCACCGGATCCGAAACGGACGAGAGGGGGAGGCCAGTCGGAAGGTACTTCTGTACCTTTCAGATACAGGCGAGTGAGTGAGTGAATGCTGGGGTGGCGCGGTGCGAAGCGAAGAGGACACGGACGATTAGTGTAGGTCCTTGGTGCCTGTGTAGCGCGCTCGTCCTACCCAGATAATCATGAGTGCCAAGAGCGTATGGGTTGCTTCGAGTCTTCGCCATGTTTTGACTTGGTGAGGATGGGGGAATGACTGTGTAGAGAAGCCGGATATCAGTGATGAAGTGTGAAGGAAGCAGATGCATCTACCTTACACGCTCGACGGGGTGGTGCGAGATACGTACCCGGCGACAAGATATTTAAGCGAGCTACCACCCAAGGCAGCCTAGGGGCGGGTGTCTCCTCGACGGGGAAGGTGGAAAGGCGGAAAGGCAACCCCTTTTCCCCTTGCCCAGGGAGTCTGCGCGTGCAATTTTTCTTTCTCTCTGTCGAGTCTCCCCCAGGCCCTCGCATTTCCCTCAACTTTCAGGTGGCTCAGCACGCTCTAGCACATGCGCGCAGCCTGGCGATTGGTCCGTCTGGAGCATCGGACAAGGTGCCGTGTACGGGTATCCAGGAGGATAGCTGCAGGTCCCGTAGGGTGGCATCAAACCTTAAGCATGGGGATCGCGCTTGCGGGCTGGTTGCTCGTGATGCTTGTTGAGAGGGGATTCATTGAACACTCAGGGTATACGCCCACGCCTGTCCATCAATGTTTCTAGGTATAGATATGCAGAGCAGGTATTCGTACGGGCAGCAATTGACGTGTGGGAAGAGACATCGCCATTCCAGTTGCATCTTGAATGCTGCCCAACGTCGCAGTACGGTACAGCGGCACGAGCGGGCACACCCCGTCCTGTCCTAAGGTAAGGTAGGTAGTTTGAAAGTTAAGATAGGATGAATACGAGTACCATTCAACTACCTAGCTCATTGCCCAAGGCAACTCGTCCTCGGTCAGAGTAAATTTTCAGAAAAATTTGCGCAAAATTTGCGCATGACCGTGTTGTATCGTGTACTCTGCGGCCCACGAGGACTGATTTCAGTCACTACTAGCACCAGCAGCGAAGCAACACGGCGTTATGCAATACGACACCGCATAGCAAGCGACCATCAACTCCCACGCTCGCTCGCCTATCCGTGATGGACGCTTGTGACTGAGGCAATGTTCCGACTCGATCTAGACTACATCCTGCATAACAACTGCTGGCATGGAATGCTGAGTACCGCATACGCCAGACTTACTTTCAGCTGGTCCAGGTATCCATCTCCCAGTTTAGCATCATCACTTATTGAAGGGGGATAGCCTAGACTCGAATTTATTAGACTGCACAGCCAGAAGCCGTCTCTCTTGTCTCTGCGTGTCCTATTCTATCTTTGCGCTAGAGTCCAGACAATAAACCGTGTCCCTACGAGAACTGCGAGACAAGCGTGTCCGGGGAAGGGGTTTTTTCACACGGCATAGTTGCCTCACTGTTCCTTGAGACATACACAAGTCTGTGTGGACCATGCCAACAACACCCGGGCAAGCCTCAGAACAATGACAGGTCTGAACTAAGGTAGTTGTGCAGATTTACTCCCGAGCCGGGAAACCGGAAATCCCGGGGCATGTGTGTGATCCGAGGGCAGGCGAGACGGGTAAGGTAAAGTCGTCAGTGATCGGGGGTCCATTCCAGCGGGAGAGCAACGAGACACTGCACACGTGTAGCCCATCGATGAGGTGCTCAAGCCTCATTGTCATGGCGAAGACCAGCGTCGCTTTGAGACTGGAGACATCCACTTTGGCCGAAAATGCCCCACATTGTGACTAAGCCCTAATGAGGCAATGGTTTCGTTGACCGCTGGCTAACATCTCACGTCAAGCTCAAGGCAATAATTGTCAACTGAGACGGATGCCAGAAGATCACGGCACCTCGGTGTCTCTTGGCAGAATAGGCGTATGTCAAGATCGAGGCCCTTGGTAAGGCCGCGGCCGAATTTCCTTCCGGCCCTTGATACGGGATTCGTGAGGCATGCCATGGCACCAATATCGGGGGATAAGCCAGGAGGAGTGCCTACCTATGGAAACCTCCCCAACTCCCTCGTGTGATTGTTGGCGGAAAAGGCTCGGGGCATAATCGCCGTTGTGCCTTGGTTGATGACCGTTTAATACACGGACTGGAGTCCCACTATCTCGATGCTTGGCCAAGGCATCGAGAGGCTCAGGGCCTCGTTTGTGACCCACCCACTGACATTTCATATCTACACTTGCCAAGATTCGCGACTGACATTGTGGATGAAGCCCAAGTGCCTTTGGCTGAGACAAGAAAATATATACCACTAAGCCGATTGAGGCGTTGCAAACATGAGTCCAAAGACAGAGGGCTTATGAGAATGGATTGTGTTGAATAAGTTGGGTTTCGGCAGCTCTGTTTGTAAGTCATTAGAAAGAAGGATCCAGAACCGAGCGGGAATGACGCTGACTCAAGGGGGCAGAAGATGGAGGGTTAAACAAGATCAACTAGAAGAAGAAGAAGAAGAAAAGGTGCTGAAGAATCGCGCTGCCGCGCTGGGGGGGGACCGGGGGGGGGGACGGAGGGGAGGCAAGGGGGGAGAAAAAGGGGGGGTGAACAAAAAAAAAAAAAAGAAGAAAAAAAAGAAAAGGGGGTGGAAGAACGGGGCTGCGGGGGGGGTGGGAAATTGGGGGAAAAAAAAGGAACCCGGAAACCGAAGAGGTAAAAAGGCCGGTAAAGACCCCCCTCCCCCTTTTCAAAAAAGGGAAAAAAAAAAAAAAAAAAAAAAAAAGGGACAAAAAAAGGGAAGGGCCGTTCAGGTTCCCGAGGTGTCACGATGCCTGCCGATTGCCCAAAGAGCTAGAGTAGATCCCTGAAGAATAAACCCGGAATTCTGGAATTTGGGCCGGTGAGACCGGGAGGCATGCTTTGGCGACAGGAAGGGGGGCCGCCAGGCGGAGGTGGCTTCCCACTCGGGTCCATTGACGAGCAAGGAAGGAGGGAGGGGGAGAGGGAGGCATCAAGCGAGGATGAAGGAAGGAAGCGGGACAAGGGACGCTTGCGGATTGCAGGCCACGAGGTGTCACCTTCCAACCACCTACCTACCTTAAGGTAAAGTACCTTGAAGTACGGATACCTCTGCCTATCTATCTTATCAACCTACCTCGACGTTAGGGCGCGGATAGATAAGGAAGGCGACGGAAAACTTGCCCGACCGCCTCCCTTTGCGGTGACTCTGGTCCAAGGCAAGGTGCCTACCTACCTTACCTTACCTTAAGGAACCTTATCTCAGATACTTGGACTACCACCTAGGGCACTTTTTCAAGGTGCCTTATTCACCTACCCGCGTAATAAAGGCAAGGTATATATCTCCAGATGGGGAGTCGGGAACAATGGGCCAGAGTGCAAAGGTGCCGACTTTACCTTAACTGAAGTTCTTCGCTACCGGTGGTGTGTCCTGAGTAAGGTATCACCAACCCGAAGTCGCCCAAAACCCCGGTCGCTGCTACGCTCGCGGATATCCTACGGGTACGGACACGGGGGCCGGCGGTTGACGATGTGGAGACAATCGTGCCCGGTGAGTTCAAACTTTGCAAGAGCCCGGCAGTTGTAAACTTTCATAGTCTCCCCGTCCCGGTCTCTTGAGTCCTGCCACGGCATCAACAACTACACAACATCCAGGTACACCACAGCCGACTACCATGGCTTGCCATGTCGAAGAGTTCAACAGTCGGCAAGTACATACGTAAGTTGCCTAACCTAAGGTACGACCTACGTACCCCAAGGAAAGTACGTATCCGTACGCACTTCTCACCTGCCGTGCCCGCTAGAGTTGCTAGGTACCTAGTACAAGCTACATCGAGTCTTTCCCAATGACGGGTTCCACTGACAGATACAGAGAGACGCAACCTTGTCATCTTTCCCTATCCGTTCGATCGAGCCAATTTGGACAACCTCTGCCATAACACAAAAATAACATCCACAGTTGCAGCACAAATTTGGCACAATCTCCATCGGGCTAAACTAACTGCTCGCGCTCGGCTCAACTCCTGTCCCTCGTCCATGCCGGCTCTCCCCCTACTAGTCAGCTCGCTTCGAGAAAGAAGGAGAGACATGGCGCCAGACGCCTAGCCCCCCCGGCTGACAGCAATTCCCAAGGGACTGGAAATGGTTGCATGCACCTCAGGACGTACCCCCTCCTTTTGGCATTGTCTCCAGACCCACGAGTCCACGACGCCGTAATGACAATTTCCCCCTCCTCCGCCCTCCTCCGCCCTTCCTTGCCCCCCTCCCCTCTCTCTCTGCGTGCGAACCTCCAACAGGCCCAGAGCCACCTTCATCCAAGCTATGCCGAGACCTCGATGCTCGCTCAGCCCGCAGCAGGACTCAGCAGCCTGTCCGACCAGGTCTGGGCCAGCCCAGTCCAGCAGAAAGAGGCACATTATTACCGACGTACGTTCCAACGAGCTAAGACCAGGCTTGCCATGGATGGAAATCCATAGCGTCCGCCCTACTTGTCTGGCGGTTACCCAACGCAAGAGGGAAAATACCATCGACGCGCTCGAATCGACGGCATACACTGTAGAGGCGCAAACACTGGGAACCCCGGAACTGGGTTTCGACACTCATCCGACGCTGAATGGGTGCAATATATCCTAGCTTGTGTTGACAGACCATACGGTTGGCATCGACTCAGCGGCTCCTCCATTCGACGGTCGACGCCAGCGCCAACGCCAACACCAACGCCAACAATGGCAAACCACCACCAACAACACCACCTTACCCACACCCGCGCCCAGGATCACTACCCGCTAGCTGCTAGGAGCACTGCAAATGAGAATGGCCTCTAACCCACCTCGTCTTCGTAATTCGGCAAACGAGAGAGTCCGATCAGCCCAATCGCCTGATCAGTGCTCCAGATTAAATGGGGTCGCTCTCAACCTGGTTCTCGCACATTCTTGGCCCCGGGCGTCTGCCGATGAAGGACATGGGAATCGACGTTTCTTAAAGCCGGACAGCACCGGATTTCCAACCGTGCCCGGGGTTCACTCGCACGAGATCAAAGGGCGAGATCCGCTGTGGGCTATTGCAACCACGGCTTAAGGCTCTTTTCGCCTAGCACCCGCCTGCCAATGCACAGCTCCACCCTCGGCACTCAAGAAGCCGCCCAAGCGCCTCGCACAATACCGTGACAAGTCCCGGAGATGGACCAGACCACACCTTATATCACCCTGAATCTCGTCAAAGTCCCGAGACTCGGGTGGCGCCCGTTGCCCAAGAGCGCCTCGGTCACTCACCTTGATTACGCCACTTGTCGACTCTGTCTCTTCACGAGTCATGTTTCCGCGGTTTCACCACACTGACTTGCTCATCATCACTCGTGACGGATGGTGCTCCCGAAGCCTTTCCCCGCCTGCCGCCCGTTCGCTCCAGTGAGACTTGGTGAGTGGCTCACATTTCGTCATGTTCGACAGGATCGCAAAAGTCCCTGAATCATATCTCGCCCACCCTCCGGCCGAGAAACCATTGATAGGGGAATACACCGGCTTTGCCATAAAAGAGCAGACCCATCAATTGTCACGTCAGTTGGCTTCTCACCTTCCTTTTGCTAGACCCATATGGCGGCCGCTCGCAAAAGGCCCCGTGCTTATGTTGTTGCGGTACTCTGCGGGAAAGCCTTCGATGAATTGCTGTACAAATCCCACCGCAGCATCACTCTGCGAGCCGCGGCCAGGAAGTCTGGACCATGGTGACAATATTATCCACCCCTCAACCCACTCCGGAAGATAGTGTCGTTACTAGGATAGGGGAAATGATGCTTTATTTGTGCGGTGGAAGGCACAACAGGAATGGTTCATAAAATGACGTTGCAATATCAACTTCTATGACGACCTCATCGACGACAGTCTGCGGTTCTTAACGATGCATGTTGTGATGCTATGCAGCCGATACGGAGCCAATGGCGAGCACTGATCACAGCAATCCTTGGTGTAGGAATATGTCACTGTCAGAGGTGTGACGGGGCAACGGCAGTTCTTCATCACTAATTCCTTATTGATGCGTCGGTTCAGGGGTTATTCATTGACAGGCCTCAGCCCTCTCGATTATTGACATGGGGCTTCTTAGCAAGATCGACAAATTAGACTTGGTCCCCTAGGGGCAGGTGGCTGGTCTCCCGCCCGAGCAGGGGTTCATCTAGAATACCGCAAGTTTCCAGCATCTGCTCAACCAAGGACGGCAAGTTGTAACCACTGCGACAAAATTACCATTGCTGTACTCCGTACCTACGGATGCTCTGGACACTGGAGGAAATGCCGTCCCACACCTTCCGGTCCGAACAACAAAAGAAACGAGTCTTCTCTAATACATCTTTCTTCAACAGGCGGTTCGGTCCTATCCGGAAAGACAATGTCCTGAACCTCACGCACCGGCTGATTGAAAGCTCCATTCGTCTAGCCATGAGACCAGCATCAAGGCCGTCCTCACACTCGTCGTTGGCTACTGTGAGACGGTCAAGAAAAGGTTGATCCTACGTGCTTGAGGACCTCGGGAAGAGGTTATGAGGGTATGGCCGATTGGCATAGGCACTCGTCACAGATGGTATGACAGCTGTTCAGTGACTGCATCGCCGCCACAAACCCCCACAATACAAGGACCACGTTGGTATCGATTGCAAAAGGGCGACGCTAGTAGCCATTAGGAGTCCCTTTGTTGCCGTTCTAGAAACTCGCAGAGCTTCTTCGCGCGCGCACCACGCACTTGAGCAGGGTTTGCTGCAGGATTCAGGCCGATCTGTGGCTTAAGGTGTGACAACCGACCGACTTCCTTTTCGAGCTTGCAGCCCGAGTCTGGCTTCCGGTCGGTCTCCATGCCGGACCATCAATCCGCCGCCGTGCTACTCCGTTACGCACGTATGAGTTTCACGACTAGCAGTCGGCCTGGGATGGCCTCCACCGGAATCAAGCCGATGCTGGCGGGGCAAACGTGGCAACTCATCGCAACAATACAGCTACCAACATGCGTCTGGGCATCATTCTGTTGGGACCTGATATGCAAAGCATTTTGTCAATTCCGGCCTCCCTTGCGTGCATAGGCTAAGAGAGCAAAATCGTGGATTCACTGGCCTTCGACATCAACCGTGCCGCAATGGTACATCTGCCCATGCCCTGTAGAGTGCGCTCGCTCATCTCATTGTCTACTGCACAATCTCAGGGAACGAATCCTTTGTTCAACCCTGCTGTGAAGTCGGCGCTGATTCTGGCAGGCGCATCCGTAAACACGTCCACGAGCTGATAGTAGGGCTAGCGCATAAAGCCCTTCTTCAGTTTGTGTATCCGCATAGTCAACTGGTATGGTATACAAGCTCGACTATCTACGCCTCGCCAACTAGCATATCATCACCATTGCACTCTCCGGTTTCAAGTCCTACTGCCGGAAATCGAATTCCACGATGGTGTAAGCACTGCTTCTCGCCTTGCTGCAAAAGGCGCCGTAGGACAACATCAGGAGGTAGCTGAATCGAGGACCTACGCTCCATCGCAGCGAACGGCAGCTTCACGTCTGTTATGAGCCGGTCCCGTGTAGCCTGTACAACGGCAACTAGGATAGAGGCAGCACTTGGGGGAACTAACGGCTTGTCTATCCCAGATTCCCAATAGGCTCAATGTTTCTGCTTCGCCCTCCGTAGTGTTCACTCAATTCACAGGGCGGGCAATACCCTTGCGGGCAACATGGGTTGAATCTAGTTAGACTCGGCATTGCGCTCCGTCCAGCAGTCAACCCTGTTCAACTCAGGTTGATGTCCCCATGGCATCCTTCGACAATGGGCCGTGGCTGCCGCTGAACGGTTTTCTAGGAAAGTCTTCTCCAAAATTCCTGTCACCCTTGTCTCATTTTTCTCCACATTGTCATTAGGCAGCAGGATAATGGGATGCCGCCATCATCAACTATCGTGATCAACCACTGCGCACTACTGCTCATCGCAGATGGAATCAGCCCGTCGAGCGTTTGGTCCCATGCATCCCGGCACTGCAGCATCGTGTCTTGATCAACAGTAGATCTTCACTTGAAGCGAAGGCTCGGCTGGGAGGATCACGGAATCCGGGATGGAATCACTGCGGCCAACGCCCAGCTTATGCACAAGTACCTACTCCGTATATGTCAGCTTCATCCGAAAAGCCCCTACCGATCCATGGGTACTGAATTCGCCGAAACCCCACTCCCGCCTGGTTTCCGGTGGCTGCTGATTACCTTACCTTAGCTTCTTAGGATTGGGTACGTACCGCAAGTGGCCAAGGGGGATTACTTCCTTCCCATTGTATGCACCAGCCACATTTGCGCAGAGATAGCCCACTTCTGA